GGGGGGGGGGGGTTACCACTACAAGGAACAATTAGCCTTACACAGGAAACCAAGGTTTATTTCACATTACTTTCAACGAACCCAAAGAACTATTTTCTGAAATTTAATAGAAAAAGTTATAGTAGCATTTGCTTTGATTTATGATCTATGAAATCTTCATGACTCCTACCCCAATTCAGCTACAAATTTCAACATGTGCCTACATTTAAATTCATGCATAGTTCTATTGATTCATGAGCTAAAAGATGTGCATAAGTCTTTTGCTGAAGCAAGGTCTCAGTAGGCAAGTTTGAACTTGATCCTGAAATGGATGGAGCTGATTTGATCAAACTACTTCAAGTTTGTGGAAAGGTAGTTAGCAGCAATCTGCACATGCTTGAGTCTGCAGTGTAAGTAGCAAAGGTCAAGTAGGATGAAAGATTTTAGCAGATCAGGCATCAGTGCAATTGCTGTGTACTCCAGTAGTGTTGCTGAAGTGCTGGCAGGCAAATTTAAAGAAAAAAAATGAAGGGGAAGGAGTTTAGAAACAACAATTAAAACAAGCCTTTATGTCAGAAACAAATGGACAGTCTGAGTTGAGAGGAGATGTATATAGAAGTATTTTTATTTGCAGCCTGCCACAAGGGACGGACAACACATACCCAAACCTAAAAATTCCTGAAAAAGTCTTTGAGCATGCAAAATTCAGCTAAACCCAAATTATCCAAAAAGTATTATCCAAAGAGGAGAAAAAGAAAGAACTATTACAATTATACTAACTTACTCTAAGGCTGTTAGGTTGTGTAAAAAGACAACACTAGAGCTACACAAAATGCTTATTCTGAACATTATATCAATTCCAACTGCTTGCTGATCTGAGATGCATCTGTGCATCTATTCTCAGCTTTTCCTTGCCAAAGCTTGCTAGAGGGGAATAAATTAGGCATTAGGCTGTCATGTTTCCTTGTTTCACACCAAAATTTCTGTTTAAGTTTCTTGGCTTTCAAGACATCAAAACTCCTGGGGCTCTTTGGCTCAGTAAGCATTTGGCTAATTTGAACTGCCAAACCTGCACTGGAACAACTTATTTTCAACCACTGCCATCCAAACAGGAGAGTTCATGGTCATAAATTAAGCTTTCTTTACTGCCCTTATCATATCATAGAATGACCCCTCATTAACTTTTCTTGCCTAACATTTTGACAGATAACCAACCTATTACTCTTACCTGAATGTACCTGAGCCTATAATTGTGTACTGTATTATAACAAAAAATGTACTGTCCCCAAAGCATAGAGGAGACACTAGTATAAGTCAACAGTTTAAAGGCCTCTATTCGACCTATCCACTTGCATAATAATAAATCTCCCACCTAGGGTGATGTTAAAAGCAATCATTAAGCTACACAGAGTCTTGAAGAAGGGGGAAAAAAAAAAAAAAAAAAAAAGAAGGGAATGCAGTTTTAACCAAAACAATGGAACAGGTTCCATGAAATACAGAAAGATTAAGAATTACTGGTAACCTTGTGTCATAATATAATTTTAAGAATAAAAGGAGGAAAGCAGACTGGAGTACATAAAGGCTACATTTAAAAAGCCTAAGCCTGAATTGGTTCAATCTCTGCAAGTTAGTCTAACCTGCATAGATTGAACTGATTGGCAAGTGAACAGACATTGACTTTTGATTCCAAAAGTGCAGACACATGCCTGCAGTGGTTCAGACCAGAAGCTGGGGGGAGCTAGGGTGAGCCCTTACCTGCAGGGAAGCTGTGCTGAGAGGGCGGCATGGCCAGATCCTGACAAGCCGAGCATGACTGGGAATAGACCTGTGCAAAACAGCAAGTATTCGATTCGGCTGATTGAGAGGGACAGTGATTTGATTTGGTGATTCGAGTCACTGTCCCGATTTGATTTGGCCAAATCGGATTCAAAGATTCAGCACCCATTCAGCCATAGACTAAACAGGCAGCAGTCCTCAACCACGCTGGACACAGCTGCCTCCAGTTGGTAAGTCTGTTGTGGTATGTGGAGGGGTGAGGGAAGTGGCATGGGGGGGAGGCAGATCAATGCCCCCACAGCAAGAGAGGGATTGGGGCTGGGGCTAGGACAAGCTGCCCAGCCAAGGGAGGCAGAGGCATGGGGCTCCTGCCACTGGTCTGGGAGGGCATGGGAATGGACGTGTGCCGCCAGATCTGTGCAGGGCAGGTTGGGCTGGGCTGGGCTGGGCTGCACTCCAGGTGGGCAGTGGAAGGCACTGGGAGCAGGGGCTATGCCCTGTTGCCACTTGTCCAGCTGGGGCGGGGGAGGGGAAGAGGGCACGATGCAGGCTCATTCCCAGAGTGCAGCCTGCCCAGCCCGCCCCATGCATATCCGGGGCCACATGCCCTCCTGGACCGCAGACACATGGCGGCATGCAGTGGCGGGAGTCCCTCTTCCCAAGTCTTGCAGCCCCCTGCCCCAGCTGGGCAGCTTGTCCCAGCCCCAATCCCTCCTCTGCTGTGGAGACATTGATCTTCCCCCCACACACCTCTTCCCTCCCCCCTCAGCCCACCACAACAGACTTAACAGCTGGAGGCAGCTGTGTCTAGTGTGGTTGAGGCCTGCCACCTGTTTAGTTTATGGCCAAATCTCTGAATCTGCACTGAATCTTTTCCAAATCAATTTGGTGGCTTCCAATTCGATGTGGACCTTTTAATGGGTCTCCGGATTCGATTCAGAGATTCGGCCACCGAATCAGGCCGAATCCCCTCCGAATCAAATTGACTACCGAAGCTCTGCAAAACTCTAATTGGGGAGGGGTCTAAACCCCCACCCTGGCCTGCACAGACGCCAGCCAGGGTGTGCCCAGAGGGGAAGGGGGAAACAGCCCCTGGCGGCATTTCCAACCCCACCCTCACCGCTTGAGCAGCTGCGGACATGGCCAACCCCAGCAGCAGGGGTTTGAAATAAATGGAGTTATAAGGGGCTTTAATTCCCCCCTCCATCCTCTGTCCCACCGGCATGGACCCAAGCCAGGGTCTACCTGGCTGGGGTGGAGCAGGCTGTGTTAGGGACCCCCCCCTTGCTGCAACAGCAGGGGCAGGGTTATGGCCAGGCACTGGCCTGGCATGGCTCCCTGAGGTAAGGGGAAGGGGGAAGGGAAGGGGTTTATTCCCCCTTCCCTCCAGGACCCCAGGCAGGGTCTGCAGGTTGGGGCAAAGAAGCCCTTGTCAGGCATTTCCCACCCCCACCCTTGCCGTTGGAGCAGCAGGAGGCATGGCCAGCCATAGCAGAAGCCTCAAGCAAACGGGGGAGGGAGGGGGTTTAATTTCCCCTTCCTTGCCCTGTCCCACAAGCATGGACCTCAGCCAGGGTCTCCCTAGCCAGGGCAGAGCAGCCTGTGTCAGTGTTGCTCCCCCATCACTGCTGCAGCAGCAGGGACAGGGGCATGGCCAGCAGCCAGCTGGTGTGGACCCCTGAAGCAAAAAGGCAGGGAGGGGAATTTATTCCCTCCTCCATCCCTTCTTCCCCCTGGGGACCACAGCCAGGGTCTGCCAGCCCCAGCTGCTGCCTCCACCACTCACACCTGGCCAGGGAGACCCTGGCTGGGGTTCCCTGGGCAGAAAGGGGACAGAGGGAGAGATAAACCCCCTCCCTGCCCACTTTGCCTCAGGGGACATGTTGGCTGGTATCTGGCCATGTCCTTGCCCCTGCCACAGGACCAGCAAGGTGGAAGCTGGTCCACCATTCGCCCCACAGAGGCTGCAGCAGCTCTGTCTACCCTGCTCTCACCCGCAGCCCAGCCCCCACACCGGAAGTTCCATAAACCAATTTGATCTCAAAAGCCAGGATTTGACCTGATACTACATTCAACCAGATTTCTCTCAAACCAGGTTCTGACATTTTGAAACTGGTTTATGTGCACTGAACTTCTGTTCTGTTATAGGTTTAAACCAGTTTCTGACCACTTAAACCAGTTTGTGTGTAACTTTTGTCTCTAGCAAAATAAACTATTCCAAAGCACAATAGCTTAAATTAATTCAAGACATGTACTGTACATTTATAATAATATTTAAGCAAAATAAGGCACAGCGGCTTCAGTTTCATGGGTTACACATTTTCATGCATCCCTACATGTACCCCTGACAAGCAGAGGAGCAAGCAGAAGATCTATGGTAGGCAGAGATGATCCCATCAGGGCGCAGGGCCTGTGTCAAAACAGCATGTGTGGGGCTCCCCTCCCTGTCCCACAGCACACTTACGCTGGGGAGTGAAAGCCCTGGCAAACCAGACATAGTGGGACAGGTGGCAGACAGAATTTCTGGCCAAAACAAGCAAGAGCTGTCTAACCCACCGGATGGGCAGGAGGGCTAAACTACAGCCACAGCCTCTCTTCCCACCTCTGCAAAGCCCCCCAAAGTGTGGGGCCCAGGGCAGTTGCCCTGATTCACATCACCCTAGGGATGGCCCTGACGGTAGGTAAATTAATACCACTCTACCAGAAAGAAAACAGCTGTAATTGTTGTTACCAATGGTATAAGCACTACCTCAGAGGGCTGAAGCATTTCTCCCAACAACAAAAGTTCTAGACCGTGGGCCTGCAAGGCTACATCATCTAGTCAGCCAGCTCCCTATGGGTCTGGAAATTTGGTAGCAAAGGAGCAGTACTAGCATTAACTGCCAGTCCCTCACCATCAAATTTGCAGAGCCATGGGGAGCCCCTTGGGCTGGATGATATGGCCTTGTGTGCTAGATCACATCAGCACATGCTGGGGCTAGCATGCAGGGCCCCCTCGGCAGCGAAATGAAGCACGCGGGCTTGTAGCCAGATCCAGAGCTGGCAGCTAGAACTCCCTATTGCCGCTAAAGGAAAATTCAAGGAAAGAAATAATGCATGTTAAACCAGGTTCTACAAGTTGTGAAATATTTCTATAATTTTCTTAGCCCATTGCATTTTAAAATTCTTAATATTTTGCTAGCAGTAGTGCAAGTCATTTGGCATGCAGTATGCAAACACAGTGCACTGTCAGAATGTTAGTGAACAGTTAGAAGAGAAAACATCCTCTTGTCAAGATGGCATGTAATCCTATATTTGGATGGAACTGAAAATTCAAACCTGATGTGGTCCATTCATTATAGCAGATCATGTTGATTGTATGTGGTTAGAACAATGACAAACATTTATCCTTTTCATTAATCCTGAATGTGTTGAGTTCTACAATAAAACCTGCCCATTGCTAGTAAGAGCAAAATATCAAATACTATACTAGAAATTGTACTATACATCCAAAGATATCAACAACAGCAAGAAAACTAAAGGAAAGCCAGTAAGAACCTAATATTATTCAGATGGCATAGAAAATGTCTGCTGACATACACTACATATTGCAAAAAGAAAAAAGTGTTTATAGGTATAGTTAAGAGGAGACTGGAATATAAATATTCTGGAGTTCAGCAGTTTTTCATTCAATAGTCAGTCCTAAAGTCTTTTGATATATGTATTTTATGCTGTTTCTAGGCATTTTTATATTGGCTGGTTGTAAAGATTGTTATACTTAATAATAATAGTAAAACTTATAGCATGTTGAAAATCTGATCGATGTTTCAGTATCTTTAACTGCATCATTTGTCATAATAAGATGTTTATATTTTACCCTTCCAGGTTAACAGTGGTGAAGCATCAATTTATCTTTCTGGTCAGATCATGCCTCCAGATGCTAACATTTCATGAATAATATTTATTCATACTGTAAAATCATGTTATTTTCAATCCTCTATTTAATAGTATCTATCTAAATTTAGCAGAAAGCTATGTCAATAGACAGTAATATTCACATTGCCGTATCAGCCTTAACAGTAGAGTGAATTTTTTTTGTTTATTTTTGTTTTTAACTGTACAAGCCTCCCACTTGAAAACTATTGTGATGCCCCCTGCAAATGAGCTAGTTTTGCCTTTAAAAAATTGCTACAATATTTACAGTGGGACTCTATGTTTATGGAATTTATTGCCAAACTGATGAAGCACCTGCCATAGCACCATATATCACTGATCATGTACCACACAACTACAACAGCTTTTATACACAAAGGGTGCATCTACATGGCACCCTACGGTGACATAGCAATGTGCTACGTTGCCATAGGGCACGCTATAGCGACGTAGTGATCCCATGGGTCTACATATGAGCACCAGCTATGTCAACATAGTGTGCTCCCCTGGCATAGCGTGCCACTACAGCGATGTAGCAGCGAAATCTAACTGTGCACCATGCACACCGCACAATAACCACTCGTACTGCACTGTGCTTTAGTACTTCCAAAAGGCAGGTTAACCCTTTCCTGCTGCAGGACACATCATGGACAACCACGGGGGGGGAGGGGGGCAAG